GTTTAAAAGAAACTAATTCGTTTAGGCTTGTCAAAATGAGGCATCGGTGAAGAAATTAGTGCTCACCTCCCGGGATTATTGGCGCCGGTTCAATGAATGGGTTCGAATTGTTTTAATGCTTGAAACCTAAAAAAATGACTAATTTAGAATTTAAAACAGTAAGGTTAAGATCCGTTAAGAGCGAGGCCAATTATAGAATTAAGATTTATTTAAGAATTCAAAACCAGGAAATTTTAATGAAACAATTTCCAAAACTTGGCTCAAGACAGGCTAAAGACCTATTTTTAGCTACCTCGTAACTAAAATGTGTTTGGATTCTAGAGTTTTATGAATAAGCTTTATTCCAAGCCTTTGGCAATCTTAAAATTTGAGAAGGAAACGATCCCGATCGAATTTTCGATGAAGGGAGTTGGACAAACTACGAGAAGCTCCCAAGTCGACTTTTACGCAAAAAGCAAGACATTGGCCGAGAAGCAGCATGGGATTTTGTGGTCAATATACAGGATGGAAATAAGTAGACCAGCTGAAAGTATTCAGATATGCAAAATTATAGATTTAAACTGACAACCCTTAATCCAACGCTGATCGTCGGTCCACCACTGATTGATGATGATCAAGGAACGAGTATTACGGTAAGTTTGATGCTATTTAAAATGGCTTTGATTGACCGCATTTTACTGTTTATTACTGTCCTTTTAGTTGATTCGACGATTTTTGAATCCTTGGGAGATGCCCGGTGTGCCGGGAGTCTCCCTGGCGTTGGTTGATGTGAGAGATGTGGCAAGGTGAGTGTAAAATGCGATAGAAGCAAAACCGATCAAAATCAAGACCAAAGCTTGAAGCTATTGGGTTGATGAATTGAAAACTGCGGGCTATATCGCGGGACTCGCAGATAAAAAACAACAACATTGAACCAGCTGAAAGGGGGTTGAGATAACATTTCCTAAAAGTTTTAGCCACTTAGCCAGCAATGAGCCTGCGAAATCAAAAATCTGATATTCAGGCTCACATCGAGGCAATGAGGCGGCCGGAAACTGATGGAGAGCGGATCCTTTGTACTTCTCAGCCATCCTTCTGGTTCCGAGACTTTGCTCGCATTTTGGGTAAAGAGTTTCGACGACAGGGTAAATTTCAAAGTTTTCTTTCAAATTAAGCCAAGACTTTGTTAACAAGATCAATTCTCCCAGGAGCAAACAATTTCCAGGTTCAGGGTGCCTTTGATCCAAGTTCCCTATGCTGTCGTTTACATTTTCTCATTCTTCGACGCGCAAGCTGCCTCCGTTTTGCATAGAATTGGACCAGAAGTGAAATTTTCCAACAAGAAGGTAGTCAAAAACCAGTTTTCTATAATACTATATGGAAAGTGCCTCATTAAAACTTAAATGATGCAATTTTGCAGGCAAAACGCTTGCTCGGTTTGGAGTTTCGCGATCCAGCTGAGTCGATCGTCGAGATGACTTATCATTTGATTGAACGTGGAATAATCAAGAAGAAATCCGGATATACGGGAATGCCGGACAAATACAAAATGGCTTTGTGAATAAAAGTTGATTCGTGAACTGGCAAAATGATCTTGAAGTTGATCAAATAGCAGTGCTACTACTTGTTCATCTTGAAGTGCAATCGTTTAATGGTAATTTTAGTTGAAAAACGCTGCCGGGGACTGCAAAATAGACATGGGCTTTGGGTCGGTTCAGGTCCAGCTAAAATGCGATTTTTCCGATCACATTATCCCAAGCTGTAAAAATCCCATAAATAATTTCTACTGATTCTAAAGCACTACCCTTTACGGTTCGAATGAAAGATGTTCAAGATGTTAAACTTTCTAGGAACAACAGTGTATTAAATATTCCCATGTTAATCATAACCAAACATAACAAATAACTCACAAAGCGAATGTTATCTATTCATCTCCATCTTCGGTAGTCTCCTCAGAGGCCAAACGTCATCTCCATTATTGTATTCTTCTGTCTCTTCAGCATGTGCAGAGCACTCCCGTGATTGATTTGCATACAATTGGTAGACTGTCCTTCATTCATATATTTCTTCTTTACTTTTTGGCCACGAGTTCTGCCTAAATCTGCGACTTTATATTGAAATAGTGATTGATATAAAGTGACAAAGAATGCAAACTAAACCCACCTAACGTGCTTTTGGTTACAGGTTGTGTTCAGAGTTGAATAGCCGTTGAATTTTTCATGCGTTGTCTCTTTGGATTATTTAAATGTATCCTGGCAAAGCTAGATAAAATGATGGTTGTATACAAACAGATCGAACTTACGAAAACACGTGTTCTGCACTGACACTGATAGCAGAAGAAGAGAAAATTTCACACATATTGATGATCACATTATACGGGTGCAGCCACATGATTATCCTCGTCCAATGGCTAAATTAGAAAATATGTAACTCAATAAATTAGCTTGTAACTTCATAAGCTTAGCAGCCAAATCAACTTTTCAATTCACTATTTTATAACTTTAAAGTCAATAAATTAACCTGAGCAGGAAGTAAGTAAAAGCTTTTAAACACAACTTACCAAATATTGAAGAAGCGTGTATGGTTCTTTGTGTTCCAGATGGATGAATTGAAGTGACCCCAATGATTCTAAATAAATATATTAATATATTGAAACTAAATCAACAAAGTTAAAAAACAAATTATAAAAGAATACAAATAAACGTATTGAACAATATATTTTAGCTAAAAAGAATGAAAAATGAGATGCTTTTGTTGTAAAATTTACGGGGGTGGGACAAATGCTACCTTTTTTTGCGCACCTGGACATTTGGGCACCTTTTTTTGCTGGAAAAGGCCTTAGGAAAGGTCGTAGAGCTTCAAAAATGTTTCATAGAAGGGAATCGGATGCGTAGATTCAGAATTTGACAAATCAGACCTCGCTGACATGTCAAATTTGGGCTAAAGGCAAAAACTACGCAACTTAACGCTTTTCCGCAGTTTTTGCCTTTAGCCCAAATTTGACGTGTCAGCGAGGTCTGATTTGTCGAAATTCGGAATCTACGCATACGATTCCCTTATACGGAATTATTTTCGAAGCTCTACGGCCTTGCTCTAAGGCCTTTCCAGCAAAAAAAAGGTGCTCAAATGTCCAGGTGCGCAAAAAAGGTCGCATTTGTCCCACCCACAAAATAGACATTTATTCCTTCATTTTGATGCAAAAAGATTAAAAATTTGATAGCAGGTTTTGAAGGAATACATGTTTGAATTAGACATGTGCACTATAAGCTATAAAAATAACGAACTGTCACACTACAAACGCTTCTAACTTGCTTCAAATCTACCTGATTGACTTGATCTATAGCTTAAAAATAGAATCTCAAGAGCTTTCGAGTAGAAAAAGTAGACTCAAAATATCAATGCTAAATAGAGTTACAGTGGTTTGTAGCCGCAAGCATGGTCCTTTTCGAGTCAGGACTACAAATCACTGTATCTTTCTTTAGCATTGATATTTTGGGTGTGCTTTAGTCCATTCGAAAGCTCTTGAGATTCTCTATTTTAGCTCTTCTCTATTCTCTATTTTAGTCCTGACTCGAAACGGACCATACTTGCGGCTACAAACCACTGTATCTTTCTTTAGCATTGATATTTTTGAGTCTACTTTATTCTATTCGAAAGCTCTTGAGACTCTCTATTTTTTAAGCTATATCAATCCGACAAATTTGATGTAAATTAGAAGCGTATATAGTTTACGTTTGTAGTTTATAGTGTCCATGTCTAGTTTGAATGTATGACTCGATTTAAGGGCCCTCAAAGTTCCGGTGTTTACCAGAAATTTTTCTGAAAAAAGATGTTGTAAAAAGAAAATACGAATTTGGGCAAATATCTAGGTACAATTTAATTTGTGGCACAAACTCTAACTAAATTAGAATCTCGTCTCTAATTAGGCTACAAAAAAGTAAAAAACGAGAAAAATTACGTCGCCTTTTCTCCTTTTACCTCTCATTTCCGTGTAATCCATTTTTCTGGGTTTATCTGTTGGTGGCAACGAGACAAAAATCTTAAATCATGTGTTGCAAAGTCTATTGAAATCATTTTGGTCATTTATTTTAGCAATAAATCCTTTGTGAACTTGTTTCTCATTAAAAACTCACGTTTTAAGCCGTTTTAATTACCCAAGTCATCTGGAAAGTATGCCTAGATGCTTATTTTTCATGCTAGAACTAAGAAAAGCAAGCATGACTTCAATTTCAAAAGGTAAATTCTAATTTTGAGTGTTTTTTTTGTTGGAACTAGAATGTTTTCTTTTGAAAGCAACGTTTTGAGCCGATTTAATTACCCAAGGCCAGGCACTAGATGAGATTTTGGCTGAGGGAGACAAAAAGAAAGCACAATTTAAGAAATTGACCATGCTTTGTTCATATTTGACTCGGGGATTATTGAGGCTTGTGAGGCTCCAGGTTTAGCAGATTTTGGCGCAAAAACCTCTTCAAATCATTTTTCAAGCAACTGCTTTATTTGGACTTACTTTTAAGTGATTAAAGAGTTAGTTAGACTCAGAAATCTTTCAGTTTTTCAAATCTTCTGCATCTAAAATCAAAATCGCAGCAATTCAATTAATCAAGACAACTTTTACATCTTTTTTTCTTTTAAAATACATTAAAAATCAAAGCAAACAATGAAAAATCAATTCGAATTTAGATGATTGGATTGGACAATTTAAGAAATTGACCATGCTTTGTTCATATTTGATAAATTTTATCAAAATCCAATTTAATTACCCAAGTCAAAAACCTAAAATCAACTCAAAACAAACAAACAAACAAACAAACTTGTTAAACAAAATTTTCTCAAGGAAAAGCAAGAATTCTTTTTCATTTGTCAATGAATCACGAAGTTTTTCCTTTACAAAACCCTATTTTCCATTTGTTTTCTTCTCTTTAAAAAGAAAAAAAAGAAAAAAAAATTGCATTATTCAGCGGCACTCAAAATTCTGTTCGTGGCTTTGCGTGACAATTTTTAGGCAATTTTCAGTAATCAAAACATTTGCGGGTTTTTGAACGTTTGTAAGTTCAAACTTTTACAATTTTGAGTTGAAATTAGATAAATTTTCAAAAGATTTCGATTTGAAAGTCATCTCGAAAGGCGATTACGGATTTCTGGAGCTAAAACCTCTCTCGATTGCATGAGATTTCGTTTTCATTTCTTGTTTCTCTAAAATACTCAATTTTCTTTAAAATTCTCATCAATTTTTGATCAATTTTTATTGAAACTACTTTTTCTTGCTCTTAAATAAGCCGTGAGTCAGTATTTGCTCATACAAAAAGATCGTTTGAACTTTTTGAACGGTTGAAGTAACTTTGTGCAACAAAAAAACGCTTTTTGAATCCAATCATCTAAATTCAAATTGATTTTTCATTGTTTGCTTTGATTTTTAATGTATTTTAAAAGAAAAAAGATGTAAAAGTTGTCTTGATTAATTGAATTGCTGAGATTTTGATTTTAGATGCAGAAGATTTGAAAAACTGAAAGATTTCTGAGTCTAACTAACTCTTTAATCACTTAAAAGTAAGTCCAAATAGAGCAGTTGCTTGAAGAAGTGCTTTGAAGAGGTTTTTGCGTCAAAATCTGCTAAACCTGGAGCCTCACAAGCCTCAATAATCCCCGAGTGAGCACTAGACGGGAAAATTCCAAGCCGAACCTAATTCCACATTTGTTTTCTTCGTCGATTGCTCTAAAATTTTGCCTACGGATAGAAATCAACATTTTCAGCAAGAAATAGCCAAGAAAACGAAGGTGGAATTAGGGTTGGCTTGAAATTTTCCAATGTCTAGTGAGCACTAGACATGGGAAATCGAGGCGGTTCGAGGCGACGATATTTTGGCACTAAATTTCACCTTAATCTAATTCTTTTTACATTATATAGAGCATCTTATGGGCTACATTTTGACACATAATAAATAGCAAAATCTCCTGTGGATGAACGAGATAAATACGTTTGAACTGTCGCCCCGAAGAGGCTGGGGTGACCCGTCGCGACGGGTCAACCAGGTTTTTCTCATTCAATTCAAAAGATATTGAGAAGTATTATAGGTCAAAATGTAGCCAATAATGTGCTCTATTTAATGTAAAAATAGTTAGAACAATAACATTTTTTGGTAAAAACTTTTGGTTAAAATATCGTGGCCGCGAACCGCTCCGATTTCACCCCGATTTCCTATGTCTAGTAAGCATCACAGAAAGATCATACAGGCAAAACGCTTGCCAGTCGATAAAGTGAGCATTTATTTGCACAGTTTTGTCAATTCCTATAGACGGAGAATAACTCCAGAATTGAGTTGAGAAATCGGGGAATTCTCTCTTTTCCATTTTTCATTTTCGATTTTCGATTTATCGTCTTAAGTTTTTGATTGAAAAATCTTCTCAAAAAATTCAAAAAGTTTATCTTTTTTGTTGTCTTTGAAATCCGAGCTTGAATCTGAATGCGAAAATCGTTGAGTAAACAATTTTTAGCGTTTTTTTTCTTGAGGAAGAGACCAAAATTCATCATCCAATCTTTGCTCGTTTTGAAAATTCTCTCAAATGTTAAGGTTTAGTTTGAAAATTAGAACTAGAACTAGCACGAGAAAGCTTTTTTCATTTGAACAAGAGATTTTGTGGGAAATTTCATTTCCAAATGGACATTTGGTCCCTCTTTGTTCGTCTCTTTCTCAATCATCCAGCTCTTTCAAAGATCTACGTTCTCATTTATGATTTTCTCCCTAAAATTTATACATCTCTAAAGCTCTTTGTCAGCTTAAATACTTATACTTAAAAGATAATTAAGAAATACTTCGGATATTTATACTTAATACTTACAAGGGAAGGTCAACTGGCTGAGCCGGTCAAATGCTATGCGACCATTCGCAGAATTTGATGCTGATTCCGAATCTATATTCTGCTTTTGCTAAAGGAGAATCTGCCAGGAGCTATAAGCGTCTAAAATTTTGTTTGGGCTCAGAAAATGTGGTCATTTGGGTCTTAGCGGAGGTCTTACGTTCTTAGCGGAGGTCCTTCTTGCGGATTGAATTGAATGCGGCCGTGGCCGAGTGGTAGGACTCTAGAGCGAGACCACACAAGTTTGATCCTCACTTTAGACTTTGCTTTCTTTCAAGAAGTGCTGACTAGTCTTCTTTGCTGATCTTGCTGTTCTTTCTTTGCTAGTGCTGACTTTTACAACAGAAAATCTACTATAGATTAGGCTGGCTAATAAGTAATGACAGATTTGCTGGGAGATTGTCTCAAACTTAACCAATCTTAACGAGTTTGATCTTATTCGAAAGCTGTATTCAATAGGAACACAGTAGCGAAGACCATTTGTTGATTCGTTCTGTTTTAAAGTTTTTATAAGTATTTAAGTGAGCTCAGTCAGACCAAAAAAAGCTTCAAAACCATATTTCGTCAATTTTTCAGTTAAAAACCTGGGCTAAAAGCATGTTTTTCGTGATCAGCTGAGAGCAGTGAGAATAATTGAACTATAACTTAAAATTGTAAGTATATACAGCAAGATTTGCACAAGTTTTTATAGTTTCTGATATCTTTATTCACTCTGTTTCCCTCATCTATTATTTGTTATTCGCCCATTATGAAGCTGGTGTTCTATTAGAGTATTTACAATTAGTTTTAAGTTGATTTTATTAGGTTGTCCAGTTATGAATGCGCGCCTGCTCTTGAACAGCGTACCTTAGGGCTATACAATTTTATCAAGCCCTATTCTCTATATGTTGTTCAAGATTTCTTATTTATTACAACTTTTCGTGTTTTTGACGTTAAACTAATTCATTTTTTATTTAATTTCCGTGTTTAGATGACCGAGACGAAGTTTCGTCTTCGTGCCAGTCTTTGGTATGGCTTCAAATTGGGCAAAAATGCCGTTGAATCCCATCGAGATCTCTGCAAAATATTTGGCGAAGATGCTATTTCGGAAAGCCAGTGTCAACGATTTCGAGAAGGAAATGAATCTTTGAAAGACGACGACCACCTCCTGCGATCGATAATGCAGTACTGAAGCAGGCGATAGAAATGGATCCTCGACAAACTACACGTGAACTTGCAGAAATATTTAGAGTAAGCCCTCAAACAATTTGCGAGCATTTAAATCAATTGGGGAAAACAAGCCGACAAGGGAAATGGGTTCCTCATCTCCTCAGCAATGCCAATAAAGCTACTCGTGTCACTATGGCGGGTATTCTTCTTCGTTTGGCAAAAATACTGGGTTTTACGATGAAATCCTTACTTGCGATGAAAAATGGATTCAATATGATAATTCTACACGAAAACGGCAATGGCTAGAACCTGGTGAGGAGCCAATACCAACACCAAAACCCGACTTCCATGGCAAGAAAGTTATGCTTCCTGTCTGGTGGAATTCCCAAGGCATTGTATATTTTGAGCTGCTTAAACCTGGACAAACAATCACGGGCGAAACGTATGCACAACAATTGGAACGAGTGAACAATGTATTGCTACAAAAAGGCCTTGATCCTTCAAACATAAAGTTCATTCAAGATGAATTCCACACGTTGCAAAGATTGTTCAGGAAAAACTCGAAGAGTTGGGCTGGGAAACTCTCCCGCATCCGCCATATTCTCCGGATATTTCTCCTTCGGATTACCATTTATTTCGCTCAATGCGAAACCATTTGGCCGAAAACAAATTCAAAGAAGTTCAAGAGGTCGAAAAATGGATAGCCGACTTCTTTGCCTCAAAACAAGCCAATTTTTACGCGGAGGGAATTCATTCTTTGCATGGAAGATGGAAACAAATATTGTTAACAAATGGTGAATATATTGTTGATTGAGCTGTTAAACTGTTGGTTTTAAAATAAAGAGTTGTTATCTTAAAAACGCACATTTATAACTGGACAACCTAATAGTTAGATTCAGTCCAAGAATGGAGAATGCACTTAAGCCAAAGATATACAAGTTACTTTTTTACTTTCTTAAGTATTTCTTATTAAGTATCTTAAAAAAAGAAGTATATACTGGTTTATTCAACCAATTCAACCAAGAATCACAATACAATAACCACAAAAATCCTATTGAAACCCTATCCTAAACTACTTACCCTAAATACTGTAATAGTACCCCACGCCCCTCGTACAGTTGGGTAATCGCAAAAGTTTTTTTAGTATTTCATTATTTTC